CTAAGTTAACGTATTCAGTGGGTTACTGATATGGTAATGAGAAGAATGATACAATAGCGAAAATATCATTAAACAAAAGAGGGAAAAGGCGGATGAATGTTGGAAAGAAGGAGTAGAATAAAGAAAAAAAGAAGGAAGAACAGACTGAAAAGAAAGAAGAGACGAAGAAGAAAACGTGTGCAGACATGAGGAAGGCAAAAATGAAATCAAAAAGATAAAAGCTATTAAAATAAGGAAAGAAAGAACGGAAGGAGGAGGAGAAGAAGAAAAAGAAGAGGAAGAAAAGAAGAAAGCAATGTGTGTAGATATGAGTAAAAAAAAACAATAAACGGAGTAAACGAAACGAAATAAAAAAATAACATCTCTTAAGATAAGGAAAGAAAGAACGGAAGGAGAAGGAGAAGAAAAAAGAGGAAGAAAAGAAGAAAGCAATGTGTAGATATGAGTAAAAAAGCAATAAACAAGGGGTAAACGAAACGAAATAAAAAAATAACATCTCTTAAGATAAGGAAAGAAAGAACGGAAGGAGAAGGAGAAGAAAAAAGAGGAAGAAAAGAAGAAAGCAATGTGTGTAGATATGAGTAAAAAAAAACAATAAACGGGGTAAACGAAACGAAATAAAAAAATAACATCTCTTAAGATAAGGAAATAATGAAAGGAGAAGAAGAAAAAATAGGGGAAGAAAAGAAAGCAATGTGTGTAGATATGAGTAAAAAAACAATAAACGGGGTAAACGAAACGAAATACGAAAAAAGATAACATCTCTTAAGATAAGTAAAGAAAGAATAGAAGAAGGAGAAGAAAAAAGAGGAAGAAAAGAAAGCAATGTGTGTAGATATGAGTAAAAACAATAAACGGGAGGCACGAAACGAAATAAAAAAGATAAAAATTCTTAAGATAAGGAAATAAAGAACGGAAGGAGAAGGAGAAGAAAAAAGAGGAAGAAAAGAAGAAAGCAATGTGTGTAGATATGAGTAAAAACAATAAACGGGAGGCATGAAACGAAATAAAAAAGATAAAATTTTAAGATAAGGAAATAAAAGACGGAAGGAGAAGGAGAAGAAAAAGAAGAAAAGAAGAAAGCAATGTAGATATGAGTAAAAAAAAACAATAAACGGGGTAAACGAAACGAAATAAAAAAATAACATCTCTTAAGATAAGGAAATAATGGAAGGTGAAGAAGAAAAAATAGGGGAATAAAAGAAAGCAATGTGTGTAGATATGAGTAAAAACAATAAACGGGGGACATGAAACGAAATAAAAAAGATAACAGCTCTTAAAATAAGGAAAGAAATAACGGAACGAGAAAGAGAAGAAGAAAAAGAAGAGGAAGAAAAGAATAAAGCAATGTGTGTCGATTTGAGGAAATAACAATAAACAGGAGAGACGATATGAAATTAAAAAGATAACAATTCTTAAGGTAAGTAAACACAAAAAAAAGGCCATCAAAAGATCGGAAGTTAAGGAAAGAAAGAAGGAAATTAAAGGAAATTGCGACGACTGATGACAAAGGATCAGAAGCCATTCACAAACCCGGTGAATAGTAGGGGAATAAATCATAAATGTTTGAAAGAAAGCCCCCGAATTCGTCCAACAATGTAACCAACGTAATCATAAACTTCACCTTTAATGGCAATCAGAATCAACCAATTTATTCATTCTCTCAATATTTCCTTTGAGATCTTTAGTCACTGTTATGTTCGCCAAATGAATTTACAACATTCATTTATTTTTAGTCTTTATTCAAAGAAATTTTCTTCTTCGATATGCTCTACAAAAATTTGTGTAAATCCTAAGCAGATATGGGATTCCGGGAAAAATATCTTAGTGGGGATGTGTGCATTCCTTTAAAGTGAAAATAGAGCTTTGCTAAAATCTGTTGTTCTTCGTTGGCAGGCGGTAAATCACACTGGATCAAATGCTGGTTTCTCCTACAATGGTGGACACAAGTTTGATCCCTGGCAGAGAGCACACTTACTTTCTTAAAATTTTTGAATACCCTGGCTGATTGAAGTATTACACACATTTTAAAGTAAAAATGAGGTGTCTATTTGATATACGTGTATATTATGATAATATAACGTTTGCAGTAAGTAAAACTATCAAATTAAAACTAAGTCTATTAATCCTTAGAAATATATATATATATATATATATATATATACATAAATATATAAATATTGGTAAATATACATAATATCCCACATCGCTAGCACGACTCGAATTTTCATGCAAACGCAATCTTCAGGTGCAAAATACAAGATATTTCTGACCAACAAGTAAATATAATAAGTGTTGTAATGGAATGTCCCACACTCCCTATCGCCTATGTGTATGGATTATATTAGTAGCTGTATATATATTGAGCGCAGGATATACCTGGGGGTTGCTTCGGCAATTAGTTGGAGATTCGTCTCCAGCTGTGCTGGTCGAACTCTCTGCTTTCGGGAAAACACCTACCCGACCTCGTGTATTTTGCTGTACCTACGGGCTCGGTTTTGCGCCGCTTTAAAAAAAGGCCTTGTGCTATATCCTGCTTCAAATTCTTAAGTTGGAAAGACGAAAAATTAGAAAAAAAAATTTTTAAATTCTGAATTTAAGTAAACACATTATGTATCAAGGGAGATAACCCCCTTTTGCATACAAAACTACATTTGCATACAAAAGTAGCAATAGAAATAATTGCTGTTTATTAAGATATATTATTGAAGTAATGTATTATGGAATAAACTCAGCAAGCACGATATTAATATAATAATAGGTTAAAACTATATATCTAATGCATTTGGAATATAGCCTTATACTTACAAAGGTGACATTACATATACACGCGTCATAAATTAATCGAGCACCATCTATAATATGGAATTACATATGTGTATCGATATATAAAAATGTTATTAATCATGGATTCTATAAATATTAATAGGTGTTATATATTATATTAATATTCGTAAAATCCATTTTAATCGGGGTGATTGTGCTTGTGCAGATGTTTGGATTTAGGTATGCATGTAGCGTCAACTCACTTCTTTTGTTCAGCATGTTAGGATTATTTAAGCGTTTTAATATAATACGCTTCTCCAACAAAGCCAAGTTAAATCTGCCTCCCTACCCGTAGTAGTTTCGCGATTATCACCCACCTAATGAATACGTTCTTTTTTAGTCACAAAAATACTTTGAGAATGTTGTGCAGCTTTTGTATTTAATATTGTTCAGCGTCATTCAGTTATGATAAAAACGCATTTTCAAGATGTTCTTGGTGGAACCAAAGTAGTATTTAACATCATCGCCTGAATTAATTCTAGCTCTACAGTGTATGCCTTCAGTCGTGCAGTGGCCTTTTTTTACGGTAGTTGCATTAACTTTTAGTAGGATCATTATTTAGTATTTTGTTAGTGTGCTTGCTTAATATATTATTGTTATGTTGCGATATATAGTTATCGATGTTTTTAATGCAGCTATAACTTACCTTAATATTATTTTTGTTGAAATTTTTTAGTGTTGGTAAGTAACCAAATTAGTTACATTAGTTTGGATGTTACTATTGTAAAGTGGGTTGAACCATATGATGTTAACTTTGCGTTGGTTTGGTTTACTTTTATCTTTATTGGTGTTTCTTTCTACATACTCTAATTGCACTTTGTAGTTGCTTTTTTTTAGTACTTTAGTATATTTAGTTTTATTATCTTCAAATATTTCTTTGTTCTGGAGTTGGTCGATAACCTAAATTGTATTGATTTGTGTAAGTTGTCAAGTTTCGTTTGATGGTGGTTGGATTTTCTGTTGATATACGTGTGGTTGTATGAATCCATCGTGTATGGTTTGTACAGGCCCTTAATCAAGTCTAATTTAACGTCTAGGAAATTGATCCCTTTATTGGTGGTAATATTCAGTTTATGGCCCTTAAAGAAAAAGTCCTTCCTCATCCGGCCCGCTTGTCTTGGTCTAAATTTACGAAGGAGAATTATCCCGTCGCCACTGTATATTCCGTTGTTTTATTTATATATCAGAGACGTCTCTTTGCCTCCCTCTGTCATTTTACAAATACTTTCACGGTAACTGCTCCGATGAGCTGCTTTCGCTGGTTCCCAGACTTCGTGAATTTAAGCGCTCAACTGGGCTCGCATCTCGCTCTCACCCTTTCACTGTCGAAACTGTTAAATGTAGCCGTCTCTTCTACTCCAATAGCTTCATGTCTCGCACTTCTCTCCCCATTTCTTAGTTTCCTGAAACTATAATCTCCAACTATTCAAATGTAACGTCAATCGACATCTCCAGATGCCCTGATCTATCTCCTAACCGTCTCTTCATCCTTTTCTCTATCATTCGTCTTTGTTCTCGCTCCTACTCTGAAACGCTTTGCGTGCTAGTGGCTTCCTGCCTTGCTTGGGGTTGAATGCTTAAAAAAAGGATATATCTGAATCTCCAAATTAACAGTATCCCTACATGTTCACATGTTCCCGCATAAACATGTGGCCCCATGGATACGAAAAAAATCTGGGTTATTTTTCCGTCGTAGTATTAGACTAGGTTTCTGTGCCTGTTTATTGTTGTAACTTTAAAGAGGTTAAAAACAGACATAGCCCTCAAGTGAACGAACAGCAACACGCGCGTTGATGAAAGAAGAGAGGGAATCGGGTGTCAGGCTAGTAGTTCCCGAAGCAAGGTTATTTACCATAACTCCACGCGAGGCAGGATAAGGCACAAGTTTTTTTTTTTAATGCGGGACAAAAACGATCCCGTAGGTACGGCAAAAAAAAAAAAACTCCCAATATATACGGGGTCGGGTAACTGTCTCTCACCCCAGACGAGACTCTGCCCTTCGGCATAGCCTCTTGTGGGTTCCTCTCTTCCCGAAGGCAGAGAGTTCGACTAGCTTAGCTGGAGACGAATCTCCAACTAATTGCCGAAGCAAGGATATTTGCCAACCGCCCCACACGGTCGAATTCAACGTGGGGTATCCGAGCTTGTAGACTCGGGCAAAATTTACCCGTAGATCCCGTAAAAAACGTGATCGGGTAGCTGTCTACCACTCCAGACGAGACTCTGCTCTTCGGCATAGCCTCGTCTGGGTTGCTGACTGCCCAATGGTAGAGAGTTCGACCAGTATAGCTGGAGATGAATCTCCAACTAATTGCCGAAGCAAGACTCCCCCACCCCACCAGGTATATCCTGTGCTCAATATATATAGTTATTAATATAATCAATCCACATAGGCGATAGGGAGTGTGGGACATTCCATTACAACACTTATTATATTTACTTATTGGTCAGAAATATGGCAGTAGTTCTTTGCTAAATTAATAACGGCCATTAGTAAATATTCCGTGATGGATGGATAAAAGTCAAAGGTATCAAACTGCAAAAATGTGCATTCCACTTTCAGGTTTTATATTACTGAACCATTCAATAACTTTGGTTATATTTCGCCATTGGTTGATACCTAAACCTTTTTTTTTTGTATACTTTAACGTTCTTTCCATAATGGTTTTGCTAATAATACCGATGTTAATTTTGGATGGATTGAGCAATCGGTATTGGGTGTTATTTAGGAAATTCTTCTTGTGGTATTTAACCGTGACGAATGACTGTTGTTTGTGTAATTTTGGTATTCTATCTTCTATCTTCAGCTAATGTCGCCATTGCTTTGGTATCGCGGTTAATATTTTTTCCCAGTTGTCATCCGCTGTTTTATAAAATGTTTTGACTTCTGCATTGATGGATTTGTGATATAATTCTGTGTCGATGTAATAATGGTTACCGGTCTTATCCGATTTGATAATTATCTTATTAGATTTCTTGATCTTATCAATGTCTTTTCGCATTTTACGTTGTAGGTCATTGGTGTGGTTATGAAATATAATATTATTTATCATTGAGGATAAACCTTTTTCGAATTCCGATGGCAGTTTGTCTCTTGATGGAGTTTTTTTTTGGTGACTTGAAACCGTAAGTGTCTTTTACATAGACTTGGAAGTTTTCTTGTATCGATTTA